GGGTGCAGAGCCAGTGGTGGTTTTGTAGGCAAACATTAATGCCTTGAATTTAATGCGAGCAGCTACTGGTAGCCAGTGCAGATTGATAAACAGGTGTGACATGCGTACTTTTTGATTCATTAAAGATTAATCTTGCAGCGACATTTTTGATTAATTGTAGAGGTTTGATAGAAGTGGCTGGAAGACCTGCCAAGAGAGCATTGCAATAGTCCAACCTGGACAGAACAAGAGCTTGAACAAGGAGTTGTGTTGCATGTTCTGAAAGAAAGGGCCTGATCTTCCTAATGTTGTATAAAGCAAATCTGCAGGACCGGACAGTTTTAGCAATGTGGTCTGAGAAATTCAGCTTATCAATCACAACTCCAAGGTTTCTAGTTGTTTTTGAAGGAGTTATGGTTGATGAGCCTAACTGGATGGTGAAATTGTGATGAAACGATGGGTTTGTTGAAACCACAAGCAGTTCTGTCTTAGCCAGGTTGAGTTGAAGGTGATGGTCCGTCATCCAACAAGAAATGTCTATTAGACATGCTGAGATGCGAGCAGCTATCGTCGGATCATCAGGATGGAATAAGAGGTAGAGTTGAGTGTCATCAGCACAGCAGTGAATGAAAAGCCATGTTTCTGAATGACAGAACCTAGTGATGCCATGTAGACAGAGAAGAGAAGTGGTCCAAGTACTGAGCCCTGAGGCACCCCAGTAGCTAGATGTTGCGACTTGGACACCTCACCTCTCCAACCTCTTTTTGTTCATTATCTGTTTTGAACAGTAAGAAATCATTTTGAAGTAGGATAGGCGATTCCTCCAGGACGCTCACTTTCCTCAGATTATTAGAACATAAACTAAAACTAATATTTATTTGATATGTAAACATCACAGGTGAGTATGTGAGCTGGAGTTTTCCACAGAAAAACCTCTTCGTAGTGTTCATTGTCATTTAATTTCCACTAATATTGAAATTTTTTTTTAACCATTGAACAGTCTGATGATAATTAACCAAACAAACTCATTCACACATGCATGTAAAGGCATCACATGTCTGCATGGCTGTGACTTTGTGTGGTTTGATGACAATATGCAGATTTAAACCATCAGCTAAATTAGAAAAATCTCATGAAACACCAAAGAAACCAGATCTGCTGTTAAACTGGTCCTGATCAATAAGCTGCTGGACACACACTGTAAATCACAGCTCCTCACGGCTCACACACACTCTTTCACGGTGTAATCGTCATCCTCACGCCTCACACTACACTCTGATCACGCCAGATTTCTTTGGACTCCGTGAGGGACAGGATATAATGTTACACTTCTGCTTTTAATAAATAATCAATCACAAGTAATAATATAATGTGGACACTGTCCTCCATGTTTCTGCAACATTTCATACCTGCAGCTTACTTTTGTCTTTGAATCGAGTCTAAAGCTTGATCTGACATGTAGACTGTTTCGGCTGAGCATCTTTGAGTCATGAATCTGCAGGTCAGAGTTCACCGTATGTTTGCTTCCTGTTTTTTGTTGTAATGGTGGCCATTGGTGTGGACTCTAACAGAGGCTTTGTGAACCTGTGAAGTCTTAAATTAGCCAAGCAGAAGTGACTTTATTACACCGTCTTTGGCTCCTTGTACTGTTATTAATATAAAACACTTCATCTATAGTTATCTGTCCTGCATGATACTGTACAAATATTCCTTTCATACAGTTAATCACATTATCAGCTTTATACACATCTGAAAGGCAATGTTTCGTAGACTCCATATGACTCCAATACTCCTTCATTATGAGTGTTACTGAAGGTGGAATAAACCGCAGTAAATCGCAGTTTGATCTCTAGTGTCACAACATTCACAAACAAACTGAAGCAGCAGATTCCAGCGAAACGGGTTAGTGAGAGTTTCATGATCTAGCAGTACTACAGTAATCTTTCCTTCTTTCGCTCTCTCTCTCTGATACTGTAGTTTCTGGACTTTTATGTAAACTCAGGTTATACAACCAGAATAAGAGAGCAGAATGTGACTTTAAAGGGACAGTCCACCCAGAAAAGATTATTCTTTTATTTACTCACCCTTTATATAATTTTAAATCTTTATGACTGATTTGTTTCTGTGGAACAAAAGACGATACTTAGAGAAATGATGGGGTACAAATAACATTGAATCCCATTGACCTTTATGGTATGGAGAGAAAAATATGTGACCAATATGTTCTTTTGTGTTCCTCTAACGAAAGTCATACTGGCTTGCAACAACAGAGTGAGTAAATGATGACAGAATGTCTGTTTTTGTGTGAACTCTCCCTTTAACATTCAGTGTGGGAGTGGTGATGAAGGAAGGAAGGAAAAGCAGCTGGACTGACAGACGTTGAACAGACTGGCTGTGATTCGGCTCTGGAAACAGACAATCAGAGACAACAGAGAAACAGACAGAAATATAAGAAAGAGATGTATGAAGAGGAGTCTTAGTGTCTCTCTTGTTTCTTTCTAGAATCCAGCAGTGATGAAGATGAAGACGATCGTGACAGCAGCAGCAGTGAGGAGTTCCCAGACAGCATAGAGGACGATGAGATCAAACTGACGGCTCAGAGTCTGACAAGCGCGCAGGTAAGAAGAAGAACAAACACTGTAATTCAGAGTGTTTTCTGTCAGCGTCTCCTGAAGCTCAGGGTTTGAACTGGAGTTGCTCATCTGTGGTTCAGACCTTTCCATTACTGTACCAGATGAAGGCCACAGCTCCTTCAGATTATAGGAGTTACTTTAAAGATGCAGCTGCAACAAAATACTTTTTGTTTTATGGTTTTAATTCCACGTCTGTAGCTTGAAGCTCCTTCATCTCCAATACTAGCATACTTGTAAAAAACAATGTCTTTAACTCATATACACATTTAAGAATCTGAAATATAATATTCTTTAGAAATTGTCTGTTTCCTTGGATTTGTTCCACCTGACTTCCTGTGTCAACAGGAAATGCATCAACAGGCATTGGAAACAAAAGGGCGCTTTTGTTTCATGGAGTCTTTAGCATTTGTTTGTGGTTAGCGTATCTCAGAGTTCACTGTGTTCTCCTGACAGAGAGCTGAGGAGTTCAGCAGGGAGCTGATGTCTCACAATGCATCAGAGCAGAGAAACCAAGATGAAAGTGAGATGGGCTGCTCCTCACTCACTCGCTCCAGGTACCAAATCCATCACCTTCAGATCGCTTGTGTTTGCTGGTGTCTTCCTGCTCTGATGCAATCGTATCTCTCGCAGGAACGCTCTGAATGAAGACGAGTCTGGATTAGCAGCGGATGAGGAGGAATCTGTCAGGTGTCGAGGGTCGGAGAAGCGTGAAACAGAACGGCCAAACTCCCGTGAGCCTCAGAGAGTTTACCGTACGTTCCGAGAGGAGGAGGAGGAAGAATATGATGATGAAGATGGAGAGGAAGGGGAAGATGTAAGGGGCCCTCAGGGCAAGCGTGGGCACCCGAGTGTGAAGCTGCGGGAGCGGAGGTGGAAGAGGAGGTGCACCAGACCTCATTCTTTGGACCTCGGAGCTCTGCTGTCTCATACACCTGCAGCCCAGCACACAGTTCAGGTGATGCATCATTAGCCAAATAACTAGCACTGGTTAACACTAACCAGCTTCATTTTCATACAGCAAAGTACAGACTGTAGTACTAAAGCATTCAGGTAAGAACAGTGGGTTTGTGAAGGATTCGGTGTTTGTTTTGTGATCAGGATGTAGGAATGAAACCGGAGGTCGTGGGTGACAGCAGCGGTTTGAGCACAGGAGGGGGTGGAGCCATCAGCTTCTGGCAGCACGTGGAGGTGGGGCTTCGGGAGCAGGCGGAGCGTCTCCGTAGCGACCTCGCCGTGAGTCGTCAGGAGAGCCGCGAGCTGCAGGAGAGACTGATGGTGTCAGAGGCAACGGTGCAAGCGCAGGCAGAACAACTGAAAGACTACAGAGAGCTGCTGAGTGAGGAGACACACACATACATACACCACACACACACACACGCACACACACACACATCAAGTCACCGTTATTTATATAGTGCTTTTTACAATGCAGATTGTGTTAAAGCAGCTTTACAGTATTAAACAGGGAAATAGTGTGTCGAAATAGTGTTCCGTTCTCCTCTGGCCAGACTAAACCAGCAGTTTAATTCTAGGCTGCAACAAAGTCAGATTGTGCAGAGGACTCATCTGGTTCCTGTGGTCTTGTCCCAATGGCCAAGACAAGGTCTTTACAGGGGATCTGTCTCTAGGGCTCATCTAGTTGTCCTGATCTCCGCTGACATTCAGGGCTGTAGAGGTCATCTCTAGGTGCTGATCCACCATCTGGACTGGATTCGGACTGGATCCGGGTGACTGCAGTGACCATCTGATCTGGATACAGACTGGATCTGGTGGCTACGGTGACCTAGAAATAAGAAAGAAACAGACTAATATTAGCGTAGATGCCATTCTTCTAATGATGTAGCGAGTACATCGGGTGTTATGAGAAGTGTTCCCGGTTCCGGTTGTCCTAATTAATGCAGCCTAACAATACTTTAACGCAGTGGTTCTCAACCCGCGGCCCGTCACGAATTCAAATGCGGCCCACCGTGCTGAACACAATTTAAAAAAATACTTTCAGTTTTACAATTCATTTTAGTTTTTACATTAATTTAAAGGTCCCATAGGTATTATCAAATGGCCAGAGTTTTGAGAACACAGCGGACGTGAAGGACATAATACAATAAGAGCTCACTCAAATACTGAGGTGCTAAACCATTCAGGGCTATATAGGTAATTAGCAAGATTTTATAATGTATACGATGTTTAATAGGGAGCCAGTGCAGTGTTGACAGAACCGGGCTAATATGGTCATACTTCCTGGTTCTAGTAGAGAGTTCAGCTGGAGTTTATTAAGCGTGCAGAACAACCACCCAATGAAGCATTACAATAATGTAACCTTGAGGTCATGAACGCATGAATTAACGTTTCTGTATTTTCCATTGAGAGCATAGGTCATAATTTAGATATATTTTTGAGATGGAAAAATGCGGTTTTACAAAGGCTAGAAACATGGCTATCGAAGGAAAGATTGCTATCAAATAGCACACCTAGGTTCCTAACTGATGACGAAGAATTGACAGAGCAGCCATCAAGTATTAGACAGTGTTCTAGGTCATTACATGTGGAGGTTTTTAGTCCTATAATTAACACCTGTTTTTTCAGAATTGAACAGTAAGAAATTACTAGTCATCCATTTCAACTATGCATTCCTTGAGATTTGCAAATTGGTATGTTTCGTCGGGCCGTGAAGAAATATAGAGCTGAGTATCATCAGCATAACAGTGAAAGCTAACACCGTGTTTCCTAATAATATCTCCCAAGGGTAACATGTAAAGCGTGAAAAGTAACGGTCCTAGTACTAAGCCTTGGGGTACACCATACTGCACTTGTGATTGGTATGATACCTCTTCATTCACTGCTACGAATTGATGCCGGTCAGATAAGTACGATTTTGCCCATGCCAATGCACTTCCTCTAATGCCAACATAATTTTCTAGTCTATTCAAAAGAATGTTGTGGTCGATAGTGTCAAACGCTAAGATCCAGTAGCACTAATGTTCAATTCAATTTGAGTTTATTTGTATAGCGCTTTTCACGAAACAAATCATTGCAAAGCAGCTTTACAGAAAATGAAGTTTCTACAATATATTTAGTAGTAGCTTGTCAGTGGTGAATCAAACAGACGATGAACACTATTAACAGCAATGATTATATGTTGCAATCAAACTGGGATGTCAATCCCAGCAGAAACAGAGAAACAAATAGAGAACATAATTAGCGTAGCTGAAGTTCCAACCAAGCAAAATTTATTTGTTTAACCCAAGCTAAAGAATAATAATGTGCATTTGATCAGATATAACTGCTATCAGGAAGGCTATTCCAGAGTTTGGGAGCCAAATGTGAAAAAGCTCTACCTCCTTTAGTGGACGTTGCTATCCTAGGAACTACCAAAAGTCCAGAGTTTTGCGACCTTAGGGAGCGTGATGGATTGTAGCGTGGTAGAAGACTAGTTAGGTACGCAGGAGCTAACCCATTAATGGCCTTGTAGGTAAGTAATAATATTTTGTAACTGATACGGAACTTAATAGGTAGCCAGTGCAGAGACTGTAGCTTGTTTATTGAAGATGCAGGACTAATAGAGAGATAAAACCACGATCGGATGATAAGAGCAGGTCATTTGTAACTCTAATGAGAGCAGTCTCAGTACTATTATACGGTCTAAATCCTCACAGATACCATTTTTCTCTAAAAAAGAACATAGTTGTGATGATACTACCTTTTCAAGTATCTTTGACAGAAAAGGGCGATTCGAGACACACAGACACACACCATACTTACACATACACACACACACACACACACACACACACACTCTCACCCCTGTGTTTTGTACTGATGGTTCTGTCTTTGTCAGCTGAGAGCGCCGTGCAGCAGGACAGTAAACAGGTGCAGGTGGATCTTCAGGATCTGGGATACGAGACGAGCGGCCGCAGCGAGAATGAAGCTGAGAGAGACGATGCCAGCAGCCCCGGTACACACACCTGACACACACTGACAGTCATAAACACAGCAGCTCCAAACTAGTGCTTCTGTTTTCTGAATTAATGAAAACCTTTTAAAAAGAGAAAAGTGGAACAATAAACATGAATGTGGGAAGGACTTTTGCTTTAATGACAGCAGCACTGGAGCTACATGAACAGAAGCTGATGATTATGTGACCCCACTGTACACAACACATCCAAATTTCTGTTGCATTCTGGGACACAGATGATGCTGTGTTTCTCAGTCTCAAATGTTTTGCACGTGATGAACATTCATGTGCTGATTGAAACTAGTGCCGCAGCTCAGCGCATGTTGTGTCCTTCTGTCGTCAGAGTTTGATGAGCTGGAGATGGGCGTCTCTCTCTCGGTTTCGGTGAGCAGACGCAGTGGCTGGAACGTAGACAGCGATGGTACGCAGACAGACGACCCGTCTTCGCTGAAGCGTCTGGTGCAGGATCTGCGTTCACAGCTCTCTCGCTGCCACAAAGTGATCCACGGCCTGCAGCTGCGCATCCGCTCGCTCTCAAACACCTCCGACTACGCCTCCAGCCTGGAGTGCACGCCGCGCAAGGTAACGCACCAGTGACGTTAGCACTGACCTGTTAGTAACGTTACCGCCACCTCATCTGCAGAATCACTTCACACTGATCATATTATACTTTGATATGTCGCTATCAAATACTCGGCTGTGATTGGCCAGTCATTCTGTGGCCAAAATCGGTAACGACACCAAACTTTATAATGAATTGATTTCCTGCACAGCCGTGCTGATTTCATGTTTTTCTAATCACTCCTGTCTCTTACTTTGGTCTCTCCCTCAGATTAATAGTTCACGTTCATTCATGTATTCATTAGATAAAGATCCGCACAGGCCGGTGTGATGAGCTGTGTGTCTGACCCGTCAGGTGAACTGGGCGTTTCAGGTGAGCTCGGCTCACAGCGGTGCGGACGAGGACGAGGGCTGGCAGTCAGACGGCCCGCTGAGACCCAGCCGCGAGCTGCAGGAGCTGGTGAGCCGCGTGACGCTGCTGGAGATGCAGATCAGGAGCTCTGCACATGAGGGAAAGAGCGGCCCGGAGGACGTGAAATGTGCCACCTGGCCCGGGTGAGGCGCTTTCAAGACACCCAACCCTGATTTTCTGCAGCGCTTTGTGCTATACAGATTGAGTCAAAGCAGCTTCACAGCAATAAACGAGAAAATAACAGAATCAGTGATGCAAACTTCATCAAATATAAAACAAATTCATTTTCAGCTGTCAAACAGCTCTACAGAAGACAAGAGCGTCATTATTCTGATCAGGGTTCGCTGCATAAACACAGTCACCATATTAACTGTGTCTTAAGAACACGTTTGACCAGCTAGCAGTTAGAAAGAATCAGTCTTACATTTCAGATTCAGATTAGATCCATCTACCTTTTTGTAAATGAATTTTAGTTGAACATAGTTTTGAACAATGTCCTGAGTCGTTGCTGGCCGCCGCCGGTGTGCATACACTCGTAGAAAACAATGTGTTAGAATTTTAAAGACGTGGCGCTGCTCTGCGCTTCTCATCCGGTGTGTGACTGGCTTTAGTAGTTTATGCAACCGGCCACAGTTCAGTTCAGTTCAACAGCAACAGACATGCTGGACACGCAGCATAGATTTCTCTGTGTTAAAAAAATCCAGCAAAGCACCACATTTTTTCCTCTTCCTGTTTGTACAGGAAGTACAACACACTGATCCAGGCACAGGCACGAGAGCTGTCACACCTGCGTCAGAAGATGCGAGAGGGCCAGGGCATCTGCCACATCCTCACGCAGCACCTGAGTGACACGACCAAAGCCTTCGAGGAGCTGCTGCGCGCCAACGACATCGATTACTACATGGGCCAAAGCTTCCGAGAGCAGCTTTCCCAGAGTTCCTCACTCGCTCACAGAGTCAGCACCAAGATCAGTGGACGTGAGTGTGTGCACACAATCCTTACAAGCACTATCGGATCTTTTCTTTAAGTGTCTGCTGGTTTGTAAATATACAGTCCTTCACTAAATGTTTTCTTTGGTTGTCAGGTGATCGTTCAGAGCAGCAAGATGATAAAACGGGTCACGAGCTGCTAGCGCTGAGGTGAGCGTCTCCTCTGGAATATAATATGCAGAAGTTCACTTCACTTTATTAATGACAGGTGGTCGTGTTCTTCAATAGGTTGAGTAAGGAGCTCCAACACAAAGATCAAATCATCGAGTCTCTCCACACCCAGTTACAGCAGCGTTTGGCCACGCCCTGCAGCAGCCACGCCCCCTCCGAGACAACAGACCAATCAGACTGCACCTCGTTTGGGTCCAACGAGAGAGGATCTACCAATGAGGACGTGGACCTGTGCTCAGATATGGATGCCGCCAGCGAGTTTCCACAGGAGGAGCCCCGACCCAAAGACAGAGGTGCGAAAACCACCATGACACACACACACACTCACTCACACAAT